AGAATTAGGTAGTGAAACCTGGGAATGAATGTGATCCAGACTTGGAGAAGACGGGGTAGGAGGGGAACCAAAGGAAACCGAGGCAGGAGCGGTTGCAGAACTTGGACTCAAAGATGGTGGTGACAATTTGGGCATAAGATCGAAATCAAGGATATCTACATCATCATCCTTTTCATCACTTGTTACCTCCCCCTGAGGAGAAGGATGATGAAAGAAACTCTCATGTTCAACAAATGTGACATCAATTGAAATGTAGGCTTCCGAGTAGGCGGATGGTAACATTTGTAACCTTTTTGAGTTGAAGAGTAACCTCTAAAAATACATTTAAGTGCTCGGGGATCAAGTTTGCTTCAATTGTGAGCATGAACATGAGTAAAGACAACACACCCAAATACCCGAGGAGACAACCTGTTTGGAGTAAGGAAGTCTGGAAAATGATTTGAAAGTGTTTCCCAAGGACTTATAAAATCTAAGACTTTGGTAGGTAATTGGTTGATGAGATGAGTGGCTATGAGAACGGCTTCCCCCCAAAAATATTTTGGAACTTGTCTTTGAAAAAGAAGAGCACGGGTAGTTTCGAGAAGATGTCCATTCTTTCTTTCGGCCACCCCATTTTGTTGGGGTGTGTCAATGCATGAGGACTCATGAACTATTCCCTCCTGGTTTAAATATGGTGATAGAATTTGGTTAAAATATTCTCTCCCGTTGTCTGTCCTCGCCCTTTTAATTTTCACCCCAAACTGTGTTTTTATCATGTTATGAAAAATTGGAAAGATATTGGCTACATCAGATTTTTGCTTCATGAGAAAAGTCCAAGTTACCCGCGTACAATCATCTATAAAAATGACAAACCAACGTGCTCCAGAATAATTAGCAACCCGTGAAGGACCCCAAACATCACTGTGCATCAAATCAAAAGGAACTGATGATTTATTATTGCTCAAAGGAAAGGAAACACGTTTATGTTTGGCAATTTCACAAATATCACAATGAAGTTGTTTCAAATCAACATTTTTAAACAAAGAAGGAAACATAAGACTGAGAGTTCTAAAGAAAGGATGACCAAGCTGAAAATGATGAAGGAGAATTTTGTCTTTATTTGTGGAGGAATTAGATAGAAGCACAGATGAACAACCAACTCCAGTATTCACTTTTCCACTCATGGGCTCGAGACAGTAAAGACCATCCTTTTCTTTAGCATGCCCAATCGTCTTCCCCGAAGCTCGGTCCTGAAACACATGAATTTTTTGAGAAAATAAGATTGCAGTTCATATCCTTGGTGATTTGTTTGACAGATAAAAGATTGGTTGTCAATTTGGGCACATGTAAAACATTTTTAAGACAGAAGGAAGGTCCTAAGGATAAGTCTCCCTGTCTTGCAACAGTGACTAAATTCCCATCAGCTATGGTGATCTTTTTATTACTAGGGCATGGTTTATAAGAAGAAAAAGATTGGGATGAGTTGGTCATATGGTCGGTTGCCCCTGAGTCGACAATCCAAAAGTGTGGGTGGATTAAAACATTATCTGAGACACTAAGAGCATGAGAACCAGAATACATACCAGAAAGTGCTAATGAACAGGCACCTGTAGGTTCTTCGAGTGAATCAAGAAGGGATCGGAGGCGATCAATGTCTTCCTTACAGAATTCTCTGCTGCTGGAATTCGGTTGATTACTGGTATTATTAGTGCTATTTTGTGCAACGTGGGTTTGTCCCTTTTGCTGCCAGCTTCTTCCTCCGGAATTCCGGTTTAGCTGATTCATGTTTTGTGGCCTTCCATGTAGCTTATGGCAGGTGTCCTTCGTATGACCAGTTTTCTTGCAATAGTTACATACTAGATTCTCTTTGAATGTCCTCTTCGGGTCAGATTTCTTATAATCAGTAGTAGCTGAAGGCTTCTTCTCCAAAGTTTGCTCACTAGCAGCAGTTGTAAGCAGTGCCAATCCTTCCAATGGCTACGAATCCAACACAACTCCTCTCCTGCTCTCTTCAGCATGAATCGTTGCAATTGCTTCATTTAGGGAGGATAATCCTTTCCCCAAAGTCTGAACTCTTACAGTATCGAAATCCGAATTAAGGCCTGCTAAGAAATCATAGATTCGGTCTTTTTCTATGAAAGCCTTCAACAACGCAGCATCCTCGCTGTTCTTCATCTCGAGAACCTGGTAATAGTCCATCTCGTACCACAAATTTTTCAAGAGTGTTGGCATACTCAGTTACAGTCTTGTTCCTTTGTTTTGTAGCAGCTAGCTTCACCTTGATCTGCGTCATTTTTCTTCGAATAAGTTTGTCTAATCGCCTCCCATATCTCTTGAGCAGTTGTCAAAAACATGACAGTATCACTTATCTCGGGTATCATAGCATTCCATAGCCATGACATGACCATTGAGTCTTCTTCGTCTCAAGCAGCAAACTTTGGATCTTCCTTCTTAGGCCCTTTTCCAAGAAGATGGTTGAGCTTGCCCTTCCCTTTCAGAAAGGTTTGAACAAGTTGAGACCACTTTAAATAGTTCGTTCCATTCAGCCTATACGCAGCTTGAATGTTCTGTAGATCTCCAGGAACCTGTTGTTGGATTGTAGGCTCCTCCGATTGAGAGCTGGTTTGTGTTACCTCTGACATCTCGTTTTTTTTCTTCTGTAAAAACTGAACTCCAAGCTGCTATGAAATCTGTAAGTGATGAAATATTTTATCCCAGAAAGAGCACCTAGGGCTCTGATACCATAACACAGAAATTGGGAAAATTGAAGTATATTTCATGACTTTTTAATACAAAGTAGCCCGACCTTTATAGGCTGAATACAATTAGATCAGAATCCAGTAAATTAAGGAATATGCAATCAAATCCCTAAGATCAGGAAATAAAATAAGTCAACCTAAAATTTAATACACCAGCTATATTAGCCTATAATCAGACAGTTAATACTTTCCAAATTTATCTAAAAATTACATAAATCACGTAATTCTCCAACAATATTGATGATGATTGTTTCTCTGTACATGTAAGGGTGATTTGGTTTTCCGGTTGAGTGATTCATTCTTACATGTATTGTGTTGGTTTTGTTACCGAATTGCCAAATGGGGAGAATGTTAGGTAAATCTGTCAAGCTCAATCAAATATCTTGGTAAAGGTAATATGAGACGTTAGTGGCCATCGATTGAATAGAGGAGTCCAATCGATGTTTCAATTGATTCAAATTTTCAAGTAAGATTAGTGTCAGAATACAAATGTTTCGGTTGAAGGTATGATTGATTGAAACTAGACACAGTGCTTCCATCTATACTTCTATCAATCAATCAGCACCAAATTTTTATAGAAACTCTCCTAAAACAAAATTTTAGAAGGTTTTATCTTCCTATTTTATGTAAATTTGCTAAATTGATAATAAATATGGGATTATAGTTATTCCAGGGTTGGGCTCTACAACTTTTATAGCTTTATTGAGAGAATTTATATTTATAGAGAGAGAGAAAGCTTTGAGATTCAATCTAGGGTTTATCATGGACAACCATATTCCCATGCAATTGAGAAAATCAAAGCTAGCAGCGCATATGAGACTATTAAACAAGGCATCAACTGGTATATTTGTGAAGAACAAGGATTTAAACAACCATAGAGTGAGCAGATCTCGTGCGGAACGAATTTGTTGACTGGCAGCAACAGAGATCCGGTTGGATAATTTGGCATATGCCTGGATCATAGGTAACTAGGGCATACTTGGGATAGAATTTTGTTAATGTTGTGGGAATCCTTTTGTCCAATAGTGAATTGTTTGCGCCTGGACAGAGGGTCCTGTGTTTTTTTTCCCTTTCTAGGGCCTTTTCACCAAAAGAGCTTGTGTCTCTGATTTACGGTGCTTTATTTGTTTGAATGTTTGTGATTGAGACACGTGAATGACTAACTAACTGAAAATAGGACAAGGGTCAAACTAAAATTTGGAAAGTTATTCTCAATTAAGTACCCGTAAGACCTATCCACCCTTCCTCTACGCCTAATTGAAATGTGTGTTTTGGCGTATCTGAGCCTTTAGTAAAGATCTAGAATTCTTCAATTGGAGCATATTGATTGTGGATTCCTCACATGTATTCATCCAATTCATTCCAAATCAATGATCTTTTTTTTTTTTTTTTTTTTTTTTCTTTTTCATCTTGTTTTTTGGGGTCAAATATTGACTTGATAAAAGTTAAGACTTCAGCCAATGAAGCCTATATGCAAATTGTTCTTTCATTTATAGATTGGGAATTACGTCACAAAATAAAAACATTACAGCCAAATAGAAACTTGATACCAAGGCCTAAACATTCCGCCTAAAAACAAAAGCAGCAAGACAGAAAAACCACCCAAACATACATAAAATCCAACCAAATTGTTAACAGAAAGCAGTTGTTTTTGTTGCATGCTGCCAAACCATTGCGAAGGACTTTCCCTTATCTTGTTTTCAGTTGGGGCCTATTCTAAATTCACCAAGGTCCATTCCTTTGTAATGCCACTCATTTAACTTACATTGCTTTTGAGATAAATACCTCTATGATTGTAACAATGGTGGAAGGAAAACACGTAAAGAACGTACCCATACATATCTTATTGGATGCAACACATATGATAAATGCAAGAGTAAGTGCATTCAGCATTATATTCTTCAATGCGTATAGAAGGAATATTATTCTGACGTCTTCTGTAATCTGATTCAGAGTATGGTTCTGATATGGTTTACATTGAGACTGAAAGAATATATTGTATTCTGAATTTTTATTTTATTTTATTTTATTTTTTTCAAGTTTCCTTACATAATTGTTTTATTTTAGGAACTCAAGGGGCCTATAATACCAGTGGAAGATTTAATTTTTAATTTTTTAATTTTATAGTATATATATATTCCATTTTTCTTTTTCGTTTCCTTGTCCATATTGACTGATATAGGGGCTCTTATAGATTTTTTTTTTTTTCGCTGCTATTTTTATTTTTATTTTTCAACTCATCTGTTTTCTTGTTTATGACAGACAAAGGGGCTTCAAAAACTTGTACACCTTGATCGGAGGTGTTTCTCATTATCTCAAGAATGAAGGCCCAGTAGAATGGGTTGGAAATCTGTTTGTCTTCGACTCTCGTCTCTCTCTACCACCTTCCACTTTCAAGCCTGAAGTAATGACCAAATCAAGCAGCATGCTAGTTGTTTCCAGGGATACCTCATTTGCTAGATGCTACATATGTGGTTCACAACTTTCTGAATTGAGGCACCGTAACTGTGCAAATATTGACTGCAACCTGCTTTTCTTGTAAGTTCCAAATTTTCTTTATTTAAGAGAAGATTGGGTTTTGGGGGGGGGGGGGGGGGGGGGGGGGAGGGGTGGAATAAAAATCACTTAAGAAAGATTGATAAAACAAACCCACAAACACATTTGTGCATCCAAAGCCCATGAATTAGGTAACCAAATCATGTCCACACGCCCTTCTCATGAAACCTTTTTCTTGGACGGAAATGCCCTTACACCATATAGCTTAACTTCATCTTGACATCATAATCATGTTTGGATCCATTCAAGTGCAAATAAGGCAGCTACCCTGGAAATTGTCTTGTCTAACTAGCAACGGTTCCAGAATAACTAATGGAAAGAAAGCTGCAGTTATAGAATTGATGGGGTTACATGTGTGAAATGTAGTAGAACCGGAACCCAAGGATTTGAAACAAAGTTGCACATTGTTCACTGAGGTAAACTAGAGGGGAGTAAATAGGTCTTGTAGAACAATTTATTAATTCATTTTTTGTTATTCTAGTTATGGCTAGTGTTTCACTAAATAAATTAACTCCATAATATAAATAAAGCAGTAAAGCAATAAATGAAAGATACCAGAATTTAAACGAGAGTCAAAAACCACGGGACCTAGTCCAGACAACTAATTTACCATAGTAAGAGATGTACAACCTTTGTCACAGTTCAGTTGCCTTGAATCCTTAATTGATCTCTAAACACATTAAGACACTAAACCATAAGCATCCTTGATGATCCCTAGGTCATCTTTCTCATCTGTCAATAGCATTTGCTCCTCTCGAATCCGCCTCTTATTGATTAGCATCAGCCTCTAGTTGTACAATATGAGAATCTGATGTGGATTGCTCAAAACATGTTGAATAGTCTTCAGAAGCTCAGCAGCAGACGTATCAACACATAAAATCAACAACTCACCAAATACTAATGCATATGATGATTGTTGTAAACAAAAGATGCACTAAATCCTCACAAGTCATCTCTCAAAAATATTTGGATAGTATGCACAAAATGATTTTTGTTTCGTATCATGAGATTTGTTCTTGTGAATAAAAAGAAAAACAGTGTTTCTGCTTTTCAAATTTTGTATCAGTATTTAATTTAGAAGTTTTATTATTGAAAGTACCTTGAGGTTCAACAACTGCAACCAATGCAACTTGGGATACCTCATCAGCCTCAGAAGAAGAATCATCACTATCCCATTCAGATGAATAAGAAAGCATTGCTTCAATGCCCCATCCTAGGCTTCCTCCTCCTTTTTATCTTTTAAATCTTCTCTAGGGTAAACTTACCAAACTGAGTAGGAGTTGATAAACTTGGTTGCCTTGGACCATTGGTAGTTGATCCATTCTTCAGCCGTTGCTCAGGTTGATATCTGATTCAATCCAGCTTCCCAGAGATGCTAGCCTATTTTTTCCTAGCTCTAGTTTAGAGGTATTTTGTGTATTTGCTTTAGGCATTTAGAGTTTACGCATTGGGTTTACGGAATCATAAATCCTATAATAATAGCTATTTATGTGTTTCAATGGTCAACACGAAGATAGAATGCACCCAAAATTGGATTCGATTGGGTTCCCTGTTCTTTATGCCCCATAAGGATTAGATTATGCGTTTTGGTCTGGTTCCAAGTTGTCTCTGACTTGAGAGAGTTTGATGAGGTCGTTCGTGGATGTTGCGAGGTTTCCCCGTCTTTTTCAAGGCGGAACTGTTAGATCTGCAAACACATATCGAGGACATTCGTTTTTCCTAGATAATGATTCGGTTGAAAGAAGAAGAGAGGACCTTCGATCGTGTTTGGTGGGAAAGTTCGACAAGGATGTGGGTGATTGGGCTCAAATCGCAGGTTGGGCTTCTCGGGTTTGGAAGGTTTCTGCCGGTGTTGTGATCTCACCTCTACCGGATTCTTTGTTGCTTTTTCGTTTTCCTTCTACGAAGGAAGCGGCTTGTGTGCTTAAAGAATGGCGTCGTGTTTGGGGGATGGCCACACTACGAATGGAATCTTGGAGTTTTAGGGTGGGGTGCTCCGAGGTGTTGAAGGGTAAGGGCCTGAAGATTGTGACGTTGTATGGTCTCCCTCTCCATCTTTGGAGTCATGCCCTGTTTGTTATGGTCGGTGATCTTTGCGGTGGTTTCATTTGGGTGGACGCCGATGATTCAATTGACGCTGAAAGGGTTCACATAACAGTATTAGACGGCAAGGTTTCTCCCCCTTTCGTTTTCATCCACGATGACCGTCTCTACTACAAAGTAAAAGTGTGGGAAGAGAAGCCTCCTGAGCTTGTTCCGACAACGGATAGTTTGGAAGGAGGCGATGGTTCACACCTGCTGAAGGAGACAGAATGGTTAAGGTGGGAGTCTTTGGGGAAGAAAGGCTTGGCTAAGTTTCAGAGATGGGAGGAATGGAGGGACGATTTATGGAAGCGTAACTCGGAATGTTTTAGACGATTTTTCACTCTGAGAAGGAAAGAAGTCAAATCGGATGGAACTGCTTCTCGTCGGCAAGAGAGGTTCCGGAAAAGGCATAAGGAGGGTGGTCTCATCGGTCTTGGCCGGCCGACGTTCATGCAGATGTGGAGAAAGGAGCGTCGGTATGGTGGTTCTCACGTTAATCAAGCGCGTGGGAGGGAGAACGTTGGCGGCCTGACACGTGGTTGGCGCAGAGGCTTTGGCCGTTCAAAGTGGTTGATAGCTGCATCCAATTTCATTTCAAAACCTTGGGCTCCGAATATAAGCAAGACCAATTTTGGAGTTAAGTCGGTGACTGGGCCTCATATTGGGCTGAGAGTTAAGGATTTTGGATCTAATTCTTTTTTCTTCTTCTCGTGGGCTTGTGGTTGGTAAGCCTGACCTGATTAACGAAGATATGTTATTATCTGATGGTTCGGATGGAGGTGGTAAGGCCCAATCTGTGGATGTTGTATGTAGTGGACATGGACCCGTTGACTTGGGTTGTGCTTTGAAGGAAGGTCCGGGTGCTTTTAATGTTTCTTCTTCTGGGCCAGTGTTGGGTAACCGGTTTGGGCCTTTATGTGATGCTGTTGATTCCATTGAAATTAATCCGTCCACAGCGTTTCCTGAAGGCTCTAGAAGAAGTCGAAGTTCTAAGGGTCTGTTGCAGGGACACCGTATGAAGAAGAAAGTAATTTTCCCCCCTGTTCGCAAAAAATGGTCTAGAAAGGAAAAACAGAAGTGGATTCCGGTGTCGATGTTGGCCTCTGGATCGGGTATGTCTTTTGATTCGCCTCATCACTCTCCCGCTTTCCCTTCTTCTTCCACTTCTCATCCCTGTGGGTTGTCTCGAAGGAGCTTGGTGCCGAAAAAGAGAGTTGTGGCTTTTGTGTCTAAATGCTTGTCTCCGGTTTTTGAAAGGGAGCCGGAGCTTTTTCTTGAGAAAAGACCTGGTCACAACGATGATTTTGAGATGGGTTCCCCTCGGTTGTGTGATGTTAGCAGTGACGGCTTTACTGTGTGTGTGGGGCGGGATGTGCAGATAAGGATTGATGATGTTTCAGCTGCTGTGCTCTTGAACGAGTTGAGAGCTCATCTTGTGTCGAAGGGCTCTGTTTCTGACCAGAATGATCGTTTGGCTGATGAGGTGTTTGGAACTCCTTTTTCTTGCTGCTCTCCATCTTTGTCATCTATTGAGTTTGGGGAGGATGGGTCGTGTTCCTCTGTTCATGGGGAGGCGGGCATGTTTTTGTGGAATGGATGTGAGTCTGATGCTGATTTGTTTACTCCTTTGGCAGTTGTTAGACCAGAAGAGGATACTGCAGAAGGAAGGGGTTTTGATGCTGGGTTGGCTGATTTGGAGAAAGATTGGTTGAAAGAAAATGGTGTTGAGATAGGCTCCCTTTTGGGTGTGTCATTTGAGGGTCGGATGGAGGAGGTGACAAATCTTTTCCTTGATGTTCTTAATGCTCAGTTTGCTGATAGAATGGAATGTAGGGGGAGTGCTCCAGTAATGAGAGAGGAGAGAGGGTTTCCAAGTCCCTTGACTCTCGTTACTTACGAAAGGAGGAGGAGGAGGAGGGGGGCCAGGGAGAGGGCCAGTGGGAGGAGGGGTGACACAGTTAATACTACTGTTTCCCTATGAAGCTTCAAATTCTTTCTTGGAATGTTCGGGGTCTTAACGACCCGACTAGAAGGAAAGTGGTGAAATCGGTGATTCGGAAAGTGGGTGGTCATCTAGTTTGTCTTCAAGAAACAAAGATTGCTTCTATGACGGATGTGATTGTTCGAAGTTTGTGGGGTGGGAGATTCGTGGAATGGTGTGCCCTGGATGTGATTGGTTCTTCGGGAGGTATCCTGATTATGTGGGATGTTCTTTGGAGCTCTTTGTTGGATTCTCAGTTTGGGTGTTTCTCGGTTTCCTGTACTCTTTCCATGGTGGAGGATGGCTTTTGATGGATTTTTTCTGGGGTCTATGGGCCTACAGAGGATAGTGAATGCCATTTGTTCTTGGAGGAGTTGGGGGAGATTCGTAGGCAAAGGTCATTGCCTTGGTGTATCGGGGGGGATTTCAATGTTGTTCGTTCCCCTTTTGAGAGATTGACAGGGGGAAGATGGACAGCTGATATGATGGCTTTTTCAGAGTTCATTGATGCTTGCTGTTTGCTTGATTTGCCTTTGGTGGGTGGGCCTTTCACTTGGTCCAGTGGGCGTTCTCCTCCTACTCTTTCTCGTATTGATAGATTCTTGGTGTCGAGTGATTGGGAGGAGAAGTTTTCTGATGTTTTTCAGACCATCTTGGCTCGTCCTTTGTCGGATCATGTTCCGTTGTTGTTGGACTGTGGCAGGCTGCGTAGCAGAAGATCCCCATTTAGATTTGAGAATATGTGGCTCCGTGTTGAAGGTTTCTTGGAGCGAGTTCGATCCTGGTGGGCGGGGTATGGAGTGGTTGGCACTCCGAGTCACTCTTTGGCAGGCAAGTTGCGTTTTTTAAAGAATGACCTCAAAGTTTGAAGAGCTGTAACGGGGATAAAGCTCCTGGACCGGATGGTTTTACTATG